CAGCTGCTTGGTAGTGTCTAAGGAAAAGAAAAAAAAAGACTTAAGAAAGTCTAAACAGGACACTAGGGAGAAAGCTGAAATAGTTAACTGAATAAATGATGTAGGGTTTGGAGATGATTCAAGAATGTGTATGAAAAATGGAGTACAGTGGGCAAAGCTGTGCTTGTAGAAATGCTGATGTCTAGAACAAAAGGTATTTTATTTTGACAGAAGATGAAGTGTATACAAGATTGACACAGGAGAGTGTGATGTATAAAATGATTTAAGTACGAAGATAAATAAAGAGAAACTTCTTCCCCTCAAAGTAGCATTCCTTTCTCAGTTCTACCAATTTACTTTACTCTTTATATCTGGTGCTCTGGTTATTACAAAAGCTTTTCACCTTATTGGTCCCTATTTGCTATTGCAATTTGTCAATTTGTTTGATGTAATTTAAAGAAAAACAGCAGTATTCCATGAGCCACCCACTGGAAGATATTTTACTGTTATTAGCTTCTTCTGAAAAAAATCTGTAAGGTGTGTAGAATGAATTACACATACTTGTTAATTCAACAATAATCCACAAATTCCTGCCATCACTCTTTCCTTACTACTTTGTTCTTTAAAACCATTCATGTCTACTTGGCTAGGCACTGACTAGAAATGGATATTTTTTTATAGTCAAGAAGACACTTTTAATGAACTTTTTAAACTCCTAGCAAAAAATTAATTCCTTCCTCCATTATGCACAATTAGAACATTCATCACATAGATATCCTAGCTTTATGAGAGTCTGTTAAGCTCAATTAGGCCCAGCCCAAATTTTTCATAATCCCTTCTGGATTCTTAGAGCCTGACACTTTGTCTTGCACAATAGTTGACTAATTTATGGTTGTGAGTTTTTCAGTGAAAAATAAATGAATGACACCTCCTTTCTATTATGTATACCAAGATTATTGGAACGAATTAGCTCTCAGGTCTTCATCCCCTGAATAATTTCCTTTCCCACTAATAGGAAACGTGGCAGTCATACATATTTCCCTGGTGTAGTTCAAAGCCAGTGGTTTGTATAAAGTCTCCTCGTCTGTGTGCTTTCCTGTGATCCCCCAAGAATCTTACACATATTGTCCAAAGGCCGTTGGAGACTGTTAGCATGAAGAAAATGGACAATGCTCTGCTTTTAAAATCCCTTACCATATTTCTGCCTGCCACCAACAATCAGAAAACTCACTATCAGGAATTTCTATCTTGAAAAAAGTTTGAGTGCCAGGAAGAGGGATAATATGAAACCTGCAATCCTGTCAGTCATGTCTTCCAGATTCAGAAACCCAACATTAAGAACATCCATCAGAATAACACTTGGGTGATACAGGGAGGCTTGACCTTCAGCAAATGATTGAGCTCAAAAAAATGAACTTGGCTTTATGCTTGATATGAGTTCCCTTCTTCCTGTCTTTCAAATACACAGCAACTCTTAATTTTGAGGAAGCATGTATCATGTAAAGGACACTTTGCATCACAGGAAGGAAGAAAAGGGGGGATAGAAACCGCACATTTACAAAACTGAAGAATTCATTACTGCACAATTCCCCTCTGCCTCCAAAGGAAAATGCAGTAGTTAAGCAGTTTGTTGTGATCTCTTCGAATCTAATTTCCGCAGGCTTCAGTTGTTGTCCACATTCCCAGCCTGTGTCCCCTCCCTCTTGCCTTGTACAACCTTCTCCAACTGCTTGCTAGGACCCTTCTCTTGGAGGTAAAGAATACATTGTTCACAATCATTTGGAAAGGGCATTTGCTTTGCTTTTAGCAAAGTGGGGAGTTGTTCCTCAAAAAGACTGAAGCAAGCTATAAAGGGAAGCTACAGCGGGCTTCTGTCTAGTAAAAAATCCTATTCAGGAATCTTCCCAATTTGGCGCGTCGGTCCACAGAAGTGACTCCGCAGCCTTAGAATAAAAAGCATCGTGGCTTCTTGCCTGCTGCTTCTGAGCCAGTATTCAACTTCCTATTTCCAGTCTAGTATTTTCGTCCACCAGACTCCCCATCCTGAGCATTCACCTTCGTCCCCTCCCCCACCGCCCCATCTCCCAGTCTCCAGAAGAGAAGGAGCCCCCACCTCCACCCCCACCCCCCCAAGAACTTGCTTCCTTAGGTTGCAGGCAGAGACAGAGACCAGGGGAGAGGGATAAAAATAACCCTACATCCTTCCTAATCACCCAACGTGGTGGTGGTGGTGGCTGGGGTGGGGGAGGGCGGGGGTCGCAGAGATTCGGAGATTTCAAACCTAGTTCCTTGTCCTATACCTCGCCACTGGACCATTAAATTCAGAAATTCGGTGTGAATAAAAAAATGTGTGAGCTGGAAACTGGGAAAAACAGAGCAGCTGAAAAGAGGAAGGAGGGAAACCTCAAATGCTCCAGCCGGCTTTCGAAAAGCGCAGCGGGCAAGGCAGCACCTTGACGTGCCTTGGGGGATCCGCTTGCCTCTAAAAGGTGCTGGGGGTGGGGGTCTGCTGCTCGAGGAGAGTTTAGGAATGCAGGGCGGCTGAGCAAAGGTAGCGCGCCCGGAATGTTAGCCTGTTGGCGCCCCCAACCCGCACTCGCCGCTTGTCTCCCTCCCGGCCCGGGGAGCCTCGCGGCCGCTGACATCATTGCCAGAGAAGGAGGGGCGGCCCGGACGAGGAGGACCCCTGCAGGAACTGCGTTCCTAAGACTCGTTCTCGGAGGGGCTTGCTAGCCGCTTAGCAAACTCAGCGCCCTGGAGGCGGCACCGGGACTCGAGCTGGGCGCGGTGGTTCTTAAATTAGCATCAGGAGAAAGGTAGATTTAGACCTTGGCTCGTCCATCTCCTGGTTCTTTCTCAAAACCGCACGCACACTGTCGGCTCTGCCTCCAATAAACCAAAGACAAGAAAGGTGAAACCTGGATATTTACTATCAGTTACTTCCCCCAGCTTTCAAATGCCAACTCCCCCCAATACAAACACACACGCAAAGACAGCCCTGTGGCTATCTCTCTTCGTGACCATGAGAATTTGTTTCAAACAAGATTAAAAGTGCATATCTCCCAAAGTTGCAGAGGTGCCAGCAAGCGCACCCTCCCCCATTCCTTTTTATTCAGTCCTGAGTCACATTTGTTTTTCTTTCTTTCTCTTTTTCTTTCTTTCTATCTGTCTATCTTTCTTTTCTTTCTTATGGAGGACATGGAAGACAGCCTTTTTGGGTCACCTAGCGCCTTCATCTTTTTGGCTTTGTACTCGGTGTTTGGAAATCTCCGCCGGCTCCTCAGGTTGTTTCCTGGTTGCAGTGGTAGGACCATGCACAGGGCTCCTCTATCACTAGGACTCTCCCATCTTTTATCACCTTTTGCCCATGGCCTATATTCTTAGCCACTTTTTTTTCACACTATGTCCATTGTACAGGAACAGTCCATAAGCTGGTATAAATCTGCCTTGGAAAGTTTCCTCATAGTAGGGGAAAGAACAGCGTCATGTTTTTGCTTTTATTGTGTGTTGCTGTTACCCTTTCATTTTCTTTCTTTTTTCTTTTGTCGTAGCCCCACTTCTGTCCCTGATTTACTTTGTGGGTGGGTGCCGCAGTGGCGCAATATTGGACTTCCAGCCTCGGAGGCAACATTTTGGAAGGGTACCCTGCTCACGGAGGCTAGTGTCTACTTGGCAGATGCGTGCTCACATACTCCAGGAGAGCACCCCGATGCCACGAACCCCAAGCTGCAAAGGCGGCTAACCCAGTGGAGCCCGGAATAAATCACAGGCAGCAAAGGGGCCATCTTCATTGAGCCCTAAAAATTCTTTCCTTGAGGGAGACATGGAAAGGAATCCTTCTGTGCACTCTGGGACACTGACACCCCAGGGACAATTAGCTTTGTGACTCTGCTCATAGGGAAGTAGTGTCTCCAGCCTGAGGTAGACAGTTACTGCGCTCCCCCTAAGTCTCCAAAGCAATGTGGTCGCTTTTTAAAGTCACCTTTTCCAATGACGCGCTTAGAAAGAGGCATTTTCGCAAAAGGGGGCCGCTTTGTACATGCTCTAGGAAGATCATTCCTTTGTGGAGGGAACTGCTTTTTGGGTCTCTCTTGGGAAATGCCATGGATTTATGACATAGGTGGGCGTTCATTTGGCTAAGGCATCCCAAATCATTTCTCTAGAGAAAAAGAAACCCTTTTATGTTGGGCTTGACTTAGGAAGTCATTTTATCTCCCCCAATGAGAAAAGAACACCGATTTTCAGCTGCTGGTTTAAAAGAAGTTGCATTTGTAAATGGAGCAGAATTTCCCACCTCTACCATTTCCACATCCTCTAGGTCCCAGAGCAGGTGGAAAAGGGAGACAGCCAGGAGGACCAAACCACAGGGACCCTGGGCGTCCTGCTGTGTACAATGTTTTCCCATGCCCAGCGGCAAAGGTCTGCCCCCACCAGGGGTTCATGCTAGCCAACTGGGACTCAAATCGGAGCCCCCAGAGTGAGGAGCGCATCTGGGCCTGCTCTGAGGGTCCACCGCAGATTCGCTGCTGGGGCATTGCCCTTCATCTGAAATCACTCCGAGAGGACCCCCTCGCCTTCCCGCCCCCCCCCCGCCGCCTGCTCCCAACAGTCTGGGGCGTTAACTCCGCATCCACACACTTTTCATGATTAGTTTCATTCATCTTCGCTGAAGCTGGCGGAATCAATTAAAGCGAAAGACCTTTTTGCACAGCCTTGCACAGCCTATCTCTGGGAAATTCAAGCGCGGACACTTTTCTGACAAAAGTGAGAGTTTTTGCAAAGTAACCAAACCGAGAGGAGGTAGTGCCAAAAGATTTTCTGTGTGAGCTCACCTCTGGGGTTTGCTCTTTCTCTTACCTCTAGGTCACAGAAACCCGCAAGAGAGGGCACCAGCAGCGTTCTAAAAGCAAGCTGTGGTCAACTGTCCAGACCCCATGCACAGGCAATCACTGCGTCCTAAGTGCAGGAAATGCCATGTGTCCCCAGTCTCAGCGTCTCTAGCACCCGGACCCGATACTTACCTACTATTAAGACTCCTCTTGAGTAGAATGAAGGGGGGGGAACGAAAAAGGAGAAAAAAAAGGCTTCCGCCTACTCCACGGAGACTGCGATTGCTGTAGCGGGATGTACCGCCACAGCTCGCAGTCCGCGGAGAAGCTGTTGGTGGTGGAGGCTGGTTTTGAGGCTAGTGAGGCTGCCCGGACAAGCTGGGCTGCCTGGGTAGCCTAAAGCTGCTGCTACTGCCACTCTGTGCGCTCTGGTAGTCTGGCTTTCCGCTTTGCTGCGCGGTCGGCTGCTGGCTGCTCTGGCTGCTCTGGCTGCTCTGGCTGCTCTGGCTCACAGCTCCTCCCGCCCTGACAGTTCCGACGACTGCAAGGAGCCACTGCCAAGCCAGCCCTTTTCAATGGCGAGGAGGAGGGACTAGACAGGAGGGGGGAAGGGGGACAGAAGGGGGGTGAGCGAGTGGAAGGCGGGGGAAGAGGAGTGAACTAGTGCCCTAGCCGCCTGCTGGGAGGGGATGGCGTAGCATCAACTGCTGGGTACCCCCCTTTGATCCCCACTCCCTGCACCCCGCATCCCACTCCAGCTCAGGAGGCGGCCTCTCCCAGCGGACGCTGAACCCCAGGAGCGGTGCGGGGGCGAGATTGAGGTAAGCTGGGTAAGTTAAGCTTGTAGCCCAGAGAGGGAGGTGGAATGCGCACTGCCTCCGCGCTCCTTTACGGGACTGGAGGCTTAGGGGAAGCACAGAGCTAAATAAGAAGAAATAAGAAGGGCATGCTTTCCTGCTCACGGTGGTCCCCCTCTACTCGTACTTTAAGTCTCCCCTTTAAGTTTCATGCCTTTACATTATCTTACAGAAGTTTGAATTTTTTTTTCTTGGTCTGTGTGTTTTTCTCTACATCCCTCTGACTCCACTGAGTCCAGCAACAGAACTTGCACACAGCCGCACCATTTTCTCATACAAAGGATACTTAGGGCACACTAGTGGAAGTAGGGGCAAGAGCCAGGAAAACCCGCATTTTGAGCCAATCGCCTGTTTCTGAATATGCCATATTCAACTGTGAGGGGTCCCTGATACCTCAGATACCTAGATGTACACTGATCCTCCAGTGAGGGGTGGGGTGTTGTGGGGGAGGAGGAAAACCGGCATTTGGCTATCCCAGAACAACTAAGAGATCATTAATCAGGTCCATGCCTGTTGCTCTGTAGTTGGGGGATCACTATGCAAACAACACCAGCACAGTTGGGTGTCAGGAAAGCATAGCAGACAAGGAAGATCCCAGCCTGGAGCTGCAAGCCCAATGCGTGCCAATAAGCTTGGCAGCCCAGTTGGCTGTCAGGTCTCCCAAGAGCACTAAAGCAACAAGGGATACTGTGTAAGGTTTTGGCTCAGATATGTAATGAGTATCAAGACGCAGTAGCTGATTCCCTACCTATAGAATGATATCAAAACAAGTAACAATAGCCAGACATCTGTGATTCTTATCTTAAGGAGAAAGTCCTTATATTTATCTAGAGGCCAGAAAATGAGACAGATGTACAGAAGGTGTGCATTTTAGGAAATAACACACTTTCCTTGATTAATGTGTAGAAAAACTTAGATTTCTGGCTCTCCACTCTAGTTTTAAAAGGAAAATTTATTTTTCATTTTGGGGTTTTTGTTGTTTATTTTTCTATGTAAAAGGGAGAAAAAGTACACTGCTTTCAGGCACTAAAAGCTTAGTATTCAGTTTTTACTCTTGTATACTGAAGGGAAAATAGAATGAGAGGTTGCATCTGCAAAGGAACAGAACATGAAAAAGGGAATAGTATGCTAGTTATTATTAGATGATTTTCCCTAATCAGCTTTTTTTTCCAGAAAATTTCTCTTAGGGGCAAATCTTTATGAATCCACAAATATTTATATTGAATCCACTTTGCACTACTCTATTTTCCTAACCCTTTTACACTTTCCAGTTGTAGTTTTTTTTTTACTTAAAATTTGCTTCAAAAATTCCTCAAATAATTTTTCCTGTTGCATTTTTCTTATATACCTGAAACCACTGCTAAAAGAAACCTTAGCATGCCCGTTCAATACAGTCTGAATGAAATGAAATAAAACACAAGAAAGTATTTGCTTATACAGACAGGTCCAGGGAGACGGTTTGCCATTATATTCTATTCCTGTTGTACCCCTGACTGCATTATTCATAGTATGTATCAATGCTTTATCCTCTTTTTCGGAGCAAGGAAATGTGTAGGGGATAAAATCAGATGCTGTCACTTAATTGCTGGTCTGACTCCTGGATGTTGTACTGTTGGGTGACACTATCATAGGGGATAGTGATTGATCTAGAAGAGTGAGGCAAAGCTCTATCACGGGAATATTTTCAAAGCACAAATAACTCTCCAAAACACCTATAGCAGAGATCAATCAATTGATTTAAGATTTCCATCTCATTTAGGTGTAAAGGGAGATAACAAGTCATTAACTGTTGTTAAAGCTATCATCATGACAGAATTGTATTGTTAATATGGCTAAGTCTGTTTGATAATTCCTAAACTGATACTCATAAACCACAGGTAATTTACACAAGGATATTACTCTAAACACTTTAGTCTCTGGCAATCTAATCAGAGTGGATTATCCTTACATTTAGCCAAATGAATTCTTTATAGTAGTCTTCTGTAGTGTAGGGCACAGTATTTCATTTTATGTGTATATTCCAAAGGAAAACCATCTCTGTGGAGTAGAAGCATTACTTATATACCAAGGAGACTCTACAAGTTGAACTAAGTAACCCAGAAAATGATCTGATAAAAAATGCAGTTTGTTGACAAGATTGACAGAAATTCACATCTGAAAATAATAAATTTCCACATTTTCTCTTTGCCTGTATTCTGACTGATGATGGCACCAGTGCACAATGAAATAACCAGAAGCTGGGACACCTGGCAAAAGCAGACTGAATTCTAACTCCGAAAGAACTGATGAGGACCTTGCTATGCCTGCAGACAGAATGGAATCTCTATTTCTAAATGAACTTATGGAGTTCCTGCATAATTAAATAGCCCTAATAATCCTCAAAAACCACTCCATGAGGTAGATATTATTATCATCTTCTTTTTCTTTTCTTTTTTTGGGTTTTGTTTTAGCATGAAAATAAAGGAGAATAGATTCTACAGCTATAAAATATAGAGTCATAGTACCCAACCTGTACATTTTGCAGTACTTTATGTTGTTCTCTTGCATATGGTTTTCAGATTGTATGCTTACAGATTTTCATAACGTAAATTCTACAATAAACCTTATAATTAATAAAGTACTCAAAAGTAAAAGAGCATACGGTGTTTGTTGAAGGAAGTGATAGGAAGAAACTGCTATTTACTGCAGTTTCTTCAATGATCCAATTAGGAGCCTGAACAATGATTCTGTTATGCATATAAAAGTGAAATTATGATACTCTATACCTTGTAAATATAGAAATATGCTTAGTCTCTTAACTTTAGGCATTATAGCATTATATGATTATATAAATCATCAAAGATGTTTCTTTTTTAAACTTCAGTGAGTAGAGTTGTTTCTCAGACCTTGAAGAATTGAACCCTGAGAAAGAATGTGTTTATTTGAAGGAGGTTTGAACAGCCATGCTCTCCTGGTAAACGGATGACTATTGGCAATGCCTGTTACTGTATATATCAATCACTCTGCCAAATCAATTTTAGATATAAGATTAGTGAAGACAATGAATTTCTCTTATTTCAGATTCCCTTACATTAAAATACTGCTTATCGAATAATCTGCTTGGGATTTGCCCTCCAATGTTATCACTCTGCAGAAGAAAACACATTATACTAACCAAGTAGATTAATCAGAGCAAGCATGTTGTGTCTCTTACATGATAGCTGCTTTATAACAAAATTTCAGTCATTTTGTGTTGTATTAAACAACTTTTACTATACATTGTGCACAAATACTGTAGTTAATAGATGATAATGGCTATTTGGAAAGTAGATAATACAGAACAAGATGTATTCTCCGTATTTCTGTGCTTAATAATAAACCAATTGCAATTGCAATTATTAGCAGACAATGATGCTCAACTGTCAAGAAAAGGACAGTCACACTTTCCATATTCAACTGCTGAGTCCATGAAATGTGATTCTCAATTTGAGATATTCTGGGATAATAAAATCCATATCCTATTTGAAGATTTCTTAGGATGTGGGCATTCATATATATATATATATATATATATATATATATATATATATATATATATGAAATATCTTAACATTGCATATCTCTATGTAATGTCCTTATTCTGAGTAATTGTTTGAATAGAACTATCATTCAAAGTAATTGTTTTTTATTATTGAAATTTAGCTGCAGTATATTTGAAACTGTATATGTGTACTTTTAAAACATTTAGGAACAGAATTGTTGCATAAAGTTTCTGTTCATTCACCTAAATGTGAGGATAGCATTACCCACCTTCACATACCTATAGAATTCTTTAAGTTAATGTACCCAATATGTTCAGTACTGCCTGACACAAAATTAAGGAGTTGTCATTATTCAGTATACTAGCAATAAAGATACATAATAATATTAGGATGATGCTGAAATATTCAGAAATGATAATGTGTATATAAATTCTCTGAAAAGTCTAGAAACTATGTTTTCAACTAAAGACATAATTACTACTACATCATTTGTACAGAAACATATCAAAGTAAGTCTGAGATAAGTATGAGGACACAAAAGGCAAATGAATTCCTGATGAATTTAAACATGGAGAAATGGAAGAAAAGTTGCTTTTACAGTCCCTTAAGCTGTTAATAGTTTTAACTACAGTTTTTCTTTGTATTAATAGCTGAAAACCATATGCATAGCTTAACTGGAAACACTAGAGGGTGCTATTAGTGAAAGCTTAGAAAAATAGGCTTCTAGCACCCATCCCCCGGTCCACCACGATAGATTATTAGAATTTGAAAGGGGCATACCTGTGAAATGAAACTCACAGTTCTCGATTCCCTCCTGGATATAACTTGTAAGGTTGAGCTTTAGCTTTCTTTTTTTGTGGTTGTTCTTCTTCATTTTTTTCTTTTACTCCCCCCTGCCCCTTTTATTTTCTCAGGGTGCTACCACATTACCAAAATAATATTAAATGTTTGCAGTAGTACTTGGGCAATTAAGTGGGAGACATTTGAATTTGTTCTTTATTCCTAACAACAAAAAGCTGAAGGAGGAGGGGCAAGGAAAGAACCCAATATTGGATTTCTCAAGGAAGAAAGATTTTTATAGCCATAACTGGCTACTTCAACAACCTTGCTAATGAAGTAGTTTTGGAATAACTGGAGTGATCAGGCCGTATAAGATTCTCTTCCCTTCAAGCCTGAACAGTTTGGCATTTTGAGTGGACAAAAGCTGCAGCCTAGTTTTTTTTCCTAAGCTCAGGGAATGACAGCATTGTGTGTGTAGCTGAACTTTGCTGAAGCACAGGACTCTAATTATTGCCAGGAAATGAGTAAGTGTAAGTCCTCGTAGTTACTGTTATCCACTAAAGAATACAATCTTATACTGAATTCTCAGTTTTCCACATTGCATTAAATGAAACTCTTCAAATTCTGTGTGATAATTAGTTGTATTGCACTGTCACTGCACAAGCACAGGAAGATATTGTCTCTTTAAAGAATCAAAACTTCAGAATATTATTTACAATTCCTATCTTTATTTCCTAAGAAGGATGTTGGCTTAAGTTATCCAGATGCTGTGTCATGCAGTTAAAAAATAATGTGAGCTGCTTTGACTGTGGAGTAAAACAGAATTCTATTTTTCTTGTTTGTTTAATATTAGGGATGAATCTTTTTCATCTTGCCAACATTCTGACCTTAGTAAGGTGAATATCACATAATGCTTTACTTTTAAGAAACACATTAGCACACATTGGAAAACAGTCACACATTGCCAAATCACTATCCTGAGGCTGATGCAAACACACATTTTTCAGGATTTTTGAAATAATCCCAGACTATTCCAAGCCTTTTTCTTAAGCTTCTTTATTTCTAAGATATGACTATGAGATAAGCAGGTTTAACTTTTTTGTGGCTTATGAAATTATTTCTGTTTTCTAATGTATGGTAACAATTACAGTGTAGGTTAAGTTACCAAAAATATAAAGTCAAATAACTTTAAAATAACTTTGGCTGTTATTTATTCAAAAAAGATAGTTAAGGGCTGGCTATTTTGAGCTGTTTTTTTCATTGAATACGCTACTTCAAATATGTTTTAAATGACTAGACAACACATTCGACATGATAATATTTTTAATTTCAAATTAAACAGTTTCTACTTCTTTACTAATAAAACTTACCTGAATATCAGTTTCTGTATCTGTTAAAAAAAAACCCGTAACACTAAACAGTGAAAATAGTTAATCTTAACTATTCAGTTTCTCTTTCTTTTCACATAAGATTAATAATGATGATTCAGTGTAAAAAGAAAGATGTATTGAATTTTTACTCTTTCTTTAGTAAAATTTAATTACAGTGAAACAACAAGTGCAACTGAACTCTGAATCAATCCTCTTGTTATCTTCATTGACTGGCCAGATAGTAAAGGTAAAGGACTTGGAGTATAGACAAGTACTTGTTTTAGGGACAAACATATAACACAAAATCTGACTCTGAAAATAAAATTCTGTGTGTATCCTTATCAATTTTAAATACTGCCATTAATTTCTTACTAACTTTTCTAGTTCTGTGGAGAGAGAAAAGATTCATTCTGAAATTTACATCTTTTTGCATCTCTTTCTTTTTTGATTTAATGTTTACTTTTCTTATGCTAAACTCAGTAAATTTGAGATTTACTGTCAATTCCATCACTAGTTTTTTATTTTCTACTATTACACAAGTAATTAATTACTTTTCTCATGGAAGTGAAAAGATTTGTGACAAAAACTGCTTAAGAAAAATGGATTTTTGTTGATTGTTTGGTTTGTTGGTTGTTATGTTTTGTTATGTTTTTTTCACAGATTGAAGGGATAAATCACAGCATGGAAGTCAATAGGCAGATTGCAGCATCAGTAGCAACAATCAGAGGTAAATGAATACTGGTGTTTCAGCTTAATTTCTCTTTATTCATTACCGAACCTCAGCCCATAGAAGGGTGGTTTTAAGATGGGTTTTCCCACTTTAATTAACCCAACCTAGAATTTTCCTTGAACATGCCCAGAATTTGTTTTCATGTTGAACTTAAATTCCAGCAAGTTGATATACAAGATTAACTGTCTCCCTTATCTCCTTCAGTGATGTGAGCATATGCTAGTATGCAGAATTAAATCACGCTTTGATACTAAGAGCATGGGCACACTGCCTGGTATCCAACAGTCCCTTTCTCTAAAGCCTTGAATTCATACTGATAAAAAATGTTCGACTTACCACAGGATTATGATCTTGTTAGAATACACTCCAAGCAGAGTGGGCAAAATAGCTTCAATATCTTCTGACATTAGCTTTATATTTTTGTTTTGCTTCTTGAATAGTGTATACTGTGTAAATCACTTTACTGGTGTAAATCAATGTGCTGGTAAGACTTCTGCAGTTCGCCATAGTAAGTAAAGTATTACGCAAAGCTATTAATTACCTTTGAACAATTAAACAGAATTAATGCCCACACTTTCTATCAATTATAATTTATTCTTTAAAAGATCACCATGGAGTTGTAACAATATTGGAAAAATTACCAACAATAAGTAAGTACAAATAAAATGACAGAGTATGAAATTACAAATTCTGAAAGTTACTAAGTGACATTGGGTTCCAAGCATCTTAAGCCTATGAATTGTTAAAATCTTGATTATCTTTACAGGGAGAAGTTGGAAGACAGAACTCTCAGAACATAATTTGGCAGTGTTCTGACACAAGAATGGAGATCTAGAAAAGTTACATTTATTTAAGGCACATTTGCAAGACAATATGTATAAGAGCTTTGAGGTATCTCTCAATCAGGTCCACATATTTAACAAAATATGGATCTCAATCCTCACTTACAAACCTCAAGAATTACATACTTTTGATAAAGTATTGAACATATTAATCCATATTTTTCAAACTAAGATTATAAGCTAACATTTCATGATGGATTGTATGGTAATAAAATATTTATTAAGTTACATTTAATTTCTAATTTGTGTCATTCTAGTCTTTACTCAAATGTCTTTATGCAAGCCAATTCAAAAAGTAAGATAAATTAACAATTTCTTAGAAGTAAGGCATATGCTACATTTTACAGAGCTATCTGGGACTGATGTGCACTTTGACCAAAACAATTATCAAATAAGCATAATTTTAACATTATATTTGCCAAAAAGCTACATTTCTAGTTCAATAAAACTTACTAGTTCAATAAATTTTAATAAAATTAACTTGGCTTAGGTTTTTAATTCTTAATAACTAAAAAATAGAAGGTAATCTTTTGTTCCAAGCTATATCTCTCTGAGACCTGAGAAAGGAAAACAGTAAGTATACTTTGAACATCTTTCATGTTCTTCATCCTTCAGTTTCACTACCATAATGTTAAGATGTTATTCTATGCTTCTTTTAAATTGAACAAGTACTACAGTGTAGTAAAAATATTCCTCTGGAGACTGGTGTGAAAAGAAATACAAGTTCTAGGGGAAAAGAGAAAGTCATCAATGCCACTCTTTCACAATAGTATTTATCTTGTAGACTTTGTAAAGAAGAAAATAGTGTTATGTTTTAGGAAGGAATAGAGAAGCACAGATTGGTATTCAAATCCTATCCTTAAAATTCTACTAAAGTCGAAAATCCATATATGAGTGAGTAGATACCATTTTTGTCTTTTTGTGACTGGGTTACCTCATTGAGGACGGTTTGTTCTAGGGCCATACATTTGCTGGCAAATTTCAAGATCCCATTTTTTTTCTGCAAATGTACCAAATTTTCTCTACCCACTCTTCAGGTGAGGGGCATCTACGTTGTTTCCAGATTCTGGCTATTACAAATAATGCTGCTATGAACATAGTTGAACAGATGTCCTTATTGTATGAGGGTACATCTTTTGATTTTATGGCTAAAAGTGGAATTGCTGGATGTTGTGGCAGACTGATTTCCATTTTCCTGAGGAATCTCCATACCAGTCTCCAAAGTGGCTGCACAATTTGGCATTCCCACCACCAGTGGAGGAGTGTTCCCCTTTCTCTACATCCTCTCCAGCATAAACTGTCATTAGTGTTTTTTATTTTAGCCATTCTGACAGGAGTGAGATGGTATCTCAGAATTGTTTTGATTTGAATTATCTTGATGGCTAAGGATGTTGAGCACTTTCTCGAATGTCTCTTGGCCATTTTAGACTCCTCCATTGAGATTCTCTAGTTCCATACTCCACTTTTTAATTGGGACCTTTGGTGTTCTGGAGACTTGCTTCTTGAGTTCTTTGTAAATTTTGGGGATCAGTTCTCTGTCAGATGAGGGGTTGGTGAATATCTTTTCCCATTCTGTGGGCTACGTTTTGTCTTGTTGACGGTGTCCTTTGCCCCACAGAAGCTTCTCATTTTAAAGAGGTCCCCCTTATTAATCTTTGATGTCAGTGTCTGTGCTACTGCTGTTATGTTCAGGAAGCAATCTACTGTACCAATTCATTCAAGGGTACTTTCCACTTTCTCCTCTAAGAGATTCAGTGTGGCTGGATTGATGTTGAGGTCTTTGATCCATTTGGACTTAAGTTTTGTGCATGGCAATGGATATGGATCTATCTGTTGTCTTTTACATGCCAGCATCCAGTTACTCCAGCATCATTTGTTGAAGATGTTTTCTTTTTTCCATTGTATAGTTTTAGCTTCTTTGTCAAAGATCAGGTGTTCAAAGGTGTGTGGGTTGATATCAGCGTCTTCAATTCCATTGTTCTATCTGTCTGTTTTTGTGCCAATACCAAGGTGTTTTCAAAACTATAGCTATATAAGAGAGCTTGAAGTCAGGGATGGTGATACCTCAGGAAGTTTCTGTATTGTACAGGGTTGACTTGGCTATACTGGGTCTTTTGTTATTCCATATAAAGTTGATGATTTTCCTTTCATTTCGGTGAAAAATTGTGCTGGTATTTTGATAGTGATTGCATTGAATTTGTAGATTGTCATTTTTATTATGTTGATCCTACCTATCCAAGAGCATGGGAGATCTTTCCATTTTCTGGTATCTTCTTTAATTTCTTTCTTTAAAAATTCAAAGTTCTTGTTATACAGGTCTTTCACCTGTTTGGTTAGAGTTACCCCAAGATATTTTATGGCATTTGCAGCTTTTGTAAAGGGTGATGTTTCTCTGATTTCTTTCTCATCCCCTTTATTTTCTATATATAGTAGGGCTACTGATTTTTTTTTAGTCTGGGGTGCAGGGAGGACCCTAAGCGAAATATGCATGGTAACCCACAGAAGGATTATAGGACAAGATCTCTTAACTGGATCTGGCGGGGGGGGGCAAGAAGAAGGAGAGGGCAGAAGGAAATGGAAGAAAGTGAGGGAGAAAAAGAGGAGGGGAGAAGGGGACATGGGAGAACATGAAGGTTGGGCCAGGGTAAGAACAGAGGAGAGAAGGATGGGAGATACCATAAATGAGGGAGCCATTATAATTTGGAGGAGAGATCTGGCATTAGTGAGATCTTCACAGATCTACAAGAATGACACCAAATGGCACTAAGCCTACCGTAAATGCCCTTCCATGATAATGAGAATGATGACCACCTTTTATGCCACCCTAGATCTATCATCCAGTGGCTGATTGAGGCAGATGCAGACACCCACAGCTGGAAACCGAAGTGAACTCCTGGAACCCAGTTGCAAAGAGAAGTGATGACTAAAGGAATCGAGATCAGGCTGGCGAAACCCACAGAGGCAGCTGACCTAAACAATGGGGAGCACATGGATCCCAGGCTGATGACTGAGGAGCCAGCATGGGACTAATCCAGACATCCCTCCCACCGAACCTGAGTGACAGAGAAGAGGCAATCTGTGGGACCTGGGAAAGTAGGGCAGTATTTATTCCTGGCATACAGATGGACTCTGGGAACCCATACCATGTGGAGGGATGCTCTCTCAGCCTGGACACATGGGGAAGGACCTAAGCCCTTCCCGTAATGATGTGACAGACTCTGAAAATCCCTCATGGAAGCCCTTGCCCTCCCTGCGGTGCAGAAGGGGGATGAAGTGGGTGTGAGGGTTTGGGAGGATAGGGGGGTTGGTCTAGGCGGGGAGGGAGAGGGAACTGAGAGCGACATGTGTAAAAAGTTAAATTAAAAAATGGAAGAAAAAATTATCCTAAATTCTTTGATCTTCCTGGACTCAACTTCAGGTAGAGAAGTAGGCAATGAAAAAGAAAGACTAAGAAGGAAGAAGAACATGAGGGTGTATATATCGTAATCAAGGACCATTAAGTGATATCGGAGGACAAAACTGGTCTTCAGCAGACTGTATTGGTATGGAGGTGATAAGCACTTTTACTAAATGGGATAACTCTTTGTCTTTATTATGCAAACATACATTATGATTCTCCATCAAAGGTGAGTAAAGGGTATTGTCTACTAGGGAACAATTTTGTCCTTTTGATTGTGAGCCTTGTGTTTACAGGCTGCACACTCTCTTCAGATATAAGGAATTCATTTGAAATAGTATGAAAAATAGTTGTAGGTCAGTGGTTCTCAACCTGTGGGTCGGGTTACGAACCTATGGGTGATTGAACAACTCTTACACAGGAGTCGTACATCTCAGAAAATAGTAGGAGAGAGCTGTACTACTTACTCTTTATCTCTTTATTAAATTCAGTCATTTATAAACTAAAGAAACTGTTAATTTCAGAAATTTTCAAGGTACTATTTAAAAATTTTTCTAGTTCACGTTTATAGCTGTGATTGATGGATAATATATGCTAAGTACATACAAAGGGGAAAATCAGTAACTTTAATTTATCCAAGAAATGAGTATCCAGTACCATTTAAACAAATCATAATGTATTTCTTCTCTGAGAAGTTTCTGAAACTGTCGTATCATCCAAAGTTAATAGCAATGGTAATGATTTGTTCTGTGTGTGTGTTTATGTTTGTGTGTGTTAAATTACTTCCTCTAGTTGCCTTGTCAAACTATTGGTAATACGAAGTACTCTACATATTATCTTTTTCCCTTTTGGGTAGAGCTTCATTTACATATGAGTCTTAGTAATAACAAAGGCATTAGCTTTCTGTTTGTTTTAAGAATCAACACCCATGGTGGAAAAAACTACAAATGTGCTACATAGACGCGAGAACAAAGAGTGCATAGTTTGATCAACAATAGCTATGTGTGAAGACAAGCAATATCTGAAAGTTTAGTGAGTAGTAAAACAGGCCAGGGTTAATAGCCAGCAGCTAGCCAAGATTATCAGCAAACAAAAAAAAGAAGAAGATAGACAAATTGGAGCTCTGAACACCCTGTTTTTTGGAAGGACAGCATGTGAATGACACATGATCCTCACCACAGTTGGAGCAGGCTAAGGTGTACAGACTATGGGTTTTAGCAAGTGATATAGAGTGAATTTAACAGTCTAAGAGAAATTACCTCTTTCCTAAATTTGCCTATTTCCAAATATGATTTTTATAAAGTTTACACAAAACTCATGCCAACCCTTAAAATATCCTATTTTAGGAATCTTGCTTATTTACTTTCTGGAATACATCTTTAAATCTTGTAATTTCCCACACATTTTTCCATTCATTTTCACTTTGTTTTATGTACCAATTCTCTTTGTTTATTTTCAAGTATCTGTGTCTTTAAATCATTATTTCATCATTTATGGGAAACAAAGATTGAGAACTATTGTCTTAGAGTAAATTTTGGTGAATACTCTTCATCTGTCACCTAAATCCTTTAGTTATGATAATGTGGGCTGTGAAAATGCCTAATACTCTCAAATATCCACATCATTAAGAGTTTAAATTAATAATATTAGTAATAATGAACAATCCTATAATGCACTGTTATAAAGTTTACATAAATATGGTCCATCTCTCTCAAAATATTTGTTTTGTTTGAAATAGGGTCTTACTATGTAATCCAAGATGGCCCTGATGCAGCCTCTAGGTTACTAGTATTAAGTATCACTATAACTGGCTGTGTAAATCAACTTTTTATTTAAAAGAAATACTGTATGACTTATCTTTGGCATATCTTTGCTACTATCATTGTTCTTTCAAGCCATTATTAAATAAAATGACAACCATTTAAGCACAGACACTATAATATTACAACAGTCCCACTGATAACTGGGTTGTTAAAAAGTACCTAACGTGTGGTACCAAAGGAATTAATTTATATCCTTAGGCAAAATAAAACGGATGACTGCAAGGTTTCATTATGTTACTTTGAACAACGCACAATTTAAAGCATATGAATTATTTGTTTTTGGAAATTTCCACCTAATAGTGTCTGAACACAGTGGGTTACAATTGACTGCAGGTATTGCCAACTTGATTTAACTTAGAATCACCCTAGAAACCAATGTCTCTCTGGACATGTCTGTGAGGAAATTTCTAGTAAATTTATTGAAATGGGACGATTCAACCTAAATGTGAGTGGCACTATTCCTTGAGCTTTCATCACGCACTGAATAAAAAGAAAAAGTGAGCTGAGCACGAGCTTTCCCTAGTTGGAAGCACTCCATCTCTGCTTCCCGACTATGAATTCATTGTAAACAAGGGCCCATATCCCTGCTGCAATACCTTCCTTAGCATGATGAGCTGTATTACCTTTAGCTGTGTGCTGAAAATAAAATACTATACTTGTCAGATATTTGTATCACAGCAACAAGAAAGGTATAGCTAACATCTAAAAAGTGATATCAAAGAAAGTGAAATTTTGAATGGGGGCTATAAATAAATGTGTAGAGGTACATGTTTTACATAGAGTTCTTCCAAATGTAGATCTTTTGAACGTGTGCATATTGATTAAATTACTCAAATAAGTGAGGCAGATTCATGATGAATT